CAAAAAGCACACCATGCTACATAGAATTTTGATTGCCACTCAGTGATGGTCATAACCAATCTAGTTTCGTTAGTTGGTTAGTTGGATTTGATGCAATGCTTCCAGGCAATCAGACTCACTGTTTTTCAGTTCTATAGACTGCTTATTCAGAGTAACTAAAATGCAGCCAATCACCAAAACTCAAAGGGGCAATCACAAAACTAAACAAACTCTTTTGTTTACTAGTATTAGTACTTGCTCCAGGTGGCTACACTCAGAATCATCCATGAGTTGGCCTAGACTTCAGAGGAATCAGCTGGGTGTTTTGTTTTGTTTTGTTTTGTTTTGTTTTCAAATGGACATTCTTGGGGAGATTACTTGGATAAGTAATTATCCAACTTTACTGATAAGAGAGGAGTTCTCAATCCAGACTCTCTAGATGATAAAACTTGAGTACCTTTTAGTTATAGGACATATCTAGTTCAAGAACATTGTCTTCTGCCAAAACCAAGCCTGGAGAAAACTAAGGGAATAGATAAGGGAAGAGTCATGAGACCTCTAATGTCTATACACACCAATTGTAAGGGCCCAATTTTCCCAGCATGTATCTCAGTTAGGCCAAGCAATTCTCATCAACTTCAAAGGGAGAGATGTGCATCCACAGATCTGAGTTTGCAGTATCCACAGCTTACTCAGCAGGAATACATACTATAATTTATGGTACCAGGCTTCATTTCTTTAGTCCAAATTAACTCAGCTGGATTTTGAAGCTTTTGTTCTTGAAGATAATCAACTGTCCTTTAAAATATCAAACTCACTTGGCTTTATTTCATATATTAATCCTGTTCACTACCTAGTTTAGGTTTATAAATTGAAATGCAAAATGCATATTATAGAGCTGCATGCTATACTATGTAGCTTTATAGTATTAAGTTATTAAAATTTATTCTGGAGGTGATTTTATGCATAGCAAAGAGAGAAGCAAGAGATAATTTCCTGTGTTTACTGTTCAACAATTTTGAAAAAAATATAATTCTGTTTACAGGTACAGTTTTCAGCTTTAATTTGATACTTTAATACAAGGTAAATTATCTTTTAATGTAATTACTTTATATAATAATTATGATCTTGAAAGTCTGCAAAGTGATTAAAGGGCAATTTCTAAGAAATAGATTTCTGGATTTAAATTATGCAATTTTACTGCTTATAGTTTTGGTGTTATCTAATTTATTATTATTATTACTACTACTATTATTAAATAGTTAAGAAATGGCAAGTATAGAGTTAGACATTTATAAATATCTGAGACTTTAGGTCTAAAATGTTTTTAATCACAGATTCCAAAAGTTGACACAAGTATATCCCCATTATCTTTTTTTTTTTTTTAGCATTTATTAGTTTTGACTCAACTCTAGCATGTTATACACATCAGCACCTGTGCCCATTTAGCAAAGAATTTCGGTACAAATCACTCTGAATTGAATAGACATCTCTAAGAAGCATTACAATTGTTGCAATATTTTTAGAAACTGAAACAAGGAAATAAACAACCTCAGTAAAAAGTGATTTAAATAACAAATAACGTATCTTTATAAACAGCTTATCTCCTTGAGAACAAAGAATAAACAAGGAGACAAGGTTTTTTTCCTTCCACTATTAAAGCAGATCACAATATGAATGGGTGAAATGTCATGAATAATTGGAGAAAATCACAGAGTAATCTTCGACAAAAACATCTGATTTATTTAAATTGTCACTGTTTGTCTTATTAGAACCTTTATTTAACCTTGTTATCCACAATGCAGTATTCAAGCTGGTTTATCAAAAATATACTTTGGAACCAACCATATTTTGAAATTTTTGACCTCAAATTCAAGCTATGGTAATGTAAACTTCATGTGGCAGCTTTTTACTTGGGGCCTAATTAATTGCCATTACCTTAGACTGAAATGCCTGTGAAAACCAATGTTTTGAATCTAAAATGACAGTAAATAAATCAAAGCTTTGAAACATTCTGTCAATAGATTTAAGCTCAGGTCTCTGGTTCAGAGGTTCATCAAGCTTTCCACTACTAGATTCATTTAGTTACAGCATTGATTGAATAGCTTCTGTTCACAAACCTAGCCACATACCACTAGTCACTTCTAATCATAGCTTCAAGTCCTCGTCCTGTGATTTTTCCAACCACATTCTTTCTTTCTTTCTGGATAAGGCCATTTCCTTATTGATGCCTTCACAGATTCTAGGCATTTCAGGGCATACCATGTGCCTGGCACTGTTTTAAATGCATTACAAATATTAAATCTTTTGATGCTCATAACCACCCTGTGAGGGAGGTACTATTACTGTCCCCATTTTATACATGAAGAAATGGAGGCATAGTCAGGCAAAGTAATTTTTCTAGGGTTACACAGCTACTAAGGATTTTACCTATTTCTTCTACCAAACCCTGTTTAAATAGAATTGGTTTGCTAGTAGTTTCATCTCCAAGTCAGGCACATTTATGTAAAATATAAATTTCTAGCCAAGAAATATTATAATATAAAAACATATCAGAATGATAGTATGTAAATCATGTTAGTATTGTGCATAATGGATAGAAGGGATTAGGGAAAGCAAGGCAGTATAGAGATCTCCAGTCTAACATTAACCAAGACTAGGCTATGGCAGTGGGCTGAAGGGTAGATGAGAAAGAAGAGAAAAAAAGATGACTCACAGTCATAAGCCCAAGTGATTCAAAAAATAACATTTACAGCAAAAGGGACGTAAATATTGGGGGTAGTGCTTTAGAGTAAATGGGATCAGACTGACTTTTAGACATGTTGAATTTGAATCAGTCAACAGAGCAACAAACAGAAATAACATGGGGATGCCTGTGTGAGTGTGTGGTGTGATGGGTGGCCAACATTGTAGTGATATGCCCATACTCCAAGTTGAAGTAATTATACATTTGAGAGCATTAAACAGCTTAGTGGATCAAGCATTGGTCCAATAGGCCCAGTCAATCTCTCTACCAAAACCAACCCACAGTTTCTGGCCAAATGAACCTCTTATGAGGATGTGTTCCCAAATGAGTAGTTAGGAGAGTTTACTTCCTTTGCAAACGCTATTAGGAATCAAACCTGGTATGCCTGGGAGTGTATATCCTGGTGGCTAAGTCTTTTCACTAGAATTCTGACACTAATCCAGAGATTTGCCAGGCCTTTCACCTCCCAATAGGAGTTGTGGTGCTGTTTGCATCCGGACATCCTCCTCCAACCTGACATCTCAGATTTCCAGTCTGGGCAGTCCTCAGTTGCTTAATGCAGTACCTTCTTTGGGGCAAACCAAAGAAACGGGAAAATATTTCTCAAGTCCATTCTCTTCTCCACATTCCCACTGTTACTATCTTAGTTCTGTCAGAGTGATCTTTCTAAACTAAAAATCAAGTCACTCCCATTCAGTGGTTTCCTTTAGAATGTCTTTAGATAATGTCCTGAACCATAAACATGGATTGTAATACCCTATGGCCTTGTCCCTCTGGCCTTAGCCCTTGTCATTTTCCCCTTTCATTCCAGTAGTACTAAACTATGTGCAGTTCCCCAGCTGTGCTTTCCTCTGGGCCTCTGCATATGTTTATCTCTATCTTCGGAATGTGCCTCCCACACACAGGCATACCCAAATCACAGGCAATGTGCATGCCAAACACCAACTTAATGTCTCAGTTTTGTTTTTGCTTCCTTCTGGAATTCTTCACCTATTGCCCTCAAGACTGGGCTATGTGGCTCTCATCAGACTCTGCTGTCATGCCCCTATGACCAGACTGAAAGATCCTGGAAGGAAAAACCACGTTTACCACTTTTCCTCTTCTCTGTGCTCCCTCATCCCCCAGTACCTAGTATAGCACCTGGTTTATTGTAGCTGCTCAGTACATATTTGTCACATGGTCAGAAAGGTCTAAGAGTCCTAAGGGAGACATATCTGTTTAGCTAAGGACACCACATGATGGCCTTGGTTCTGGAATGACCCTCTCCCAGCCCCACCAGTTAATCAATGTATATGGCATTCTTGAGATTCTCTAAATATTTGCTATTTAGTGTGGTCTGGAGACCAGCAGCATTGGCATTTTCTGGAACTTGCTAGAAATGCAAAATCTCAGGCCTCATCCTAGAACTCCTGGATCAGAATCTGTAGTTTTGCAAAATCCCCAGGTGATCTGTATGCATATTAAATATGTTTGAGAAACACCGCTCTAGATAACACTGGTGGATATTTACTCAGAAAGTTTCAATCCATTTTCTTGGGAGAATACAAATGCCTGGTTCCCATTGTTCCTGCAGATGAGGACTTGTTTGTTTTCTCTCCGATTCAGATTTACACTTCCTTCCCTGGCCCTACATGGTTGAAATCAGTCACTGCGTGATGTCAGGGGCCCTTCAATCTCAAAGGAATCCTGGGCCCCCTTTTTTTTTCCCCCTTTCATAAGTCAACCACTTGACTAGGGACAGCAATTACTCATTGTCATGGCTGCTTTTGACTCCTCCAGACACCGGATCCAGTGTCTTCTTTCAGAGGAGAGTTCCTCCTCACCCAGGAATGGGCCTCATATTCCTGGTATCTGAGCAGTTCCCAGCCACTGGCTGTTGTGCCCAGCACTTGGTTGGGAGAAACCATGGGAAATGTGGCCTCAGAGCAAATGCAGTAATGAATTTCAGCACACAGCAGCTGAAGCCATAGGTTAATTATGTTTCCTGAGGCTGGAGATCTGAGAGGCAAATTCTCATGGCTACCACAAATGGTAAGAAGATATAGGGGAAAGGCAACATTGATGGAGAATTGTAAAAAGCAAGAGAGGGGGGTTCTGATGTTGCTACAACCAGCTGAGCCCTGTCTGATTTACCAAAATAAAAGAGACACTAAATTACAAAAAAAAAAAAAAGTAGAATTGTGTGTTTGCTGGAAGAGATACTTTGTGAAGGATCTCCGGGTCGGGTTTAAGACCCCTCATAGGCATGCCTAAAACACAACAGATGCCCACTAACCTGCCTTCTGAGAGTGAGCCACGATGCCAGCAGGCTTGTTTTGCTGACTGAGGCGTGCAAGCAGAACCTGGCTTGCTCCAGGTCTCATCTCCTCTTTAAATAAAACTGTGAACAAATATACAAAGAAAATCAGTGTGAAGATGTGTTCAGCTGACGTATTAATCTCCCTGAGACTCCAAACTCTTAGATGGTCCGGGGAGCAATCATACATGGAGCCCTCACTGATGGTGGAAATAGAACTTTTTACCTTTGAGAGAAGGAGAGGGACTATCCAATGTGCTACTAGAATGGCTTAACATCATCTCCAAAGCCTCTGATTCTACAACCCCAGCTGGGGGTCCAACGATTCAATTCAATTCTGACACTAATTACCTGGAGTTAGCATAGACCCCACAGGTTAAAGACTCAGTCCCACGAGGCTGCCCTGACTTTAGACACCAGCCTTAAATGGGGTGCTTAAGCTACCTACTCCTGACCAGCAGGCTACAAATTTGGGGATTCTCATGAACCCTTCCCCCTCGGGTTTGATAATTTGACTCAGAGCTCAGAAAAACACATACGTTTCACAGTTTATTATAAAGGATTACAACTCAAGAATAGCCAAACGAAAGAGATGCACAGGGCAGAGTATGGGGGAGGGGCGCAAGGCTCTTTCTTGCCCTCTCCAGTCTGCCACACTCCCAGGAGCCAGGGGGCGGGGCTGGAAGTTTTATTATACTTTGTTTTACTGCACTTTGCAGATAATTGCTTTTTTTTTTTTTTTTTTTTTTTTTTACAAATTGAAGGTTTGTGGCAACTCTGTGGACCAAGTCTATCAGCACCATTTTTCCAATGGCATTTTTCTAGATTAAGATGTGTATGTTGTTTTTCTACACTTAACGCTATTGCACACTTAACAGACAACAATATAGTGTAAACATAACTTTTGTATGCATTGGGAGACCAAAACATTTGGGAACTGGCTTTATTGAGCTATTTGCTTTACTGCGGTGGTCAGGAACTGAACCCACAACCTCTCTGAAGTATGCCTGTACAGGAATTTATCCTACAGGTATAATTTCGTATTTGGAATTAAGTGTGTGTAATGATGATATGTTCGAGGTTATTCACTGCAACACTGTGACAGTGAAAGGTTCAGATCAAAAAGGGGATGTAGTGGAGGAAAATTTTCTCCTCTACCCTTCTAGGTTGTTTTGGCTGGTCAAATAAAATTGATATAAGACAGAGTAACAGGAGAAAAGCAAATTTAATTTTGTATCTACATGAGTCCCATAAAAGCATGAGACCAAAGAGCAAGCTTGGATAGCTGAGGCTTGTATGTCTCAACTTAAGTTTAAGGAATGGGATGCAGGCTTAGGGCTTCAAAGGGTAAGGACAGTAATTCATAGGCCAATAAGAGGAGCAGATGTTTGGTAATTAGATGTTTCCCCTGTCGTAGAGAAAGGTCGCTGAGACAAAAGTTTTCTCTGGTAATAGCTCTCTCTGGGCCAGGCCCCCATCTACATTTTTTTAGATAATGAAGGGAGAGTTACAAGTTTTTCTTGAGTTTTGTGGCATCTTGATTGCCCTTAGCTCAAGACAATCCACATGCCAAAGTAGCATATTTTGGGGACACACAATTCTGCTCCCCTTCAGGGACAAGTGAAGTAAATTATGGTGCATCATGTAATAAAATATTTTGCTGCTGTACAAATGTGGGTCTGTCCTCAAGATATCTTAAGGAAAATAAGGTGCAAAAGCATGTGTATCCTATGATGCCATTTCTGTTTTATATATAAGTAAACACACCTTTACATGCTGGAATATTTCAGGAAGGATACACAGATACACAGCCACTGGTCACAGCAGCTGTCAATAGAAAGGGGAACTAGGTGGCTGCAGATAGGTATTGGAGGCAGATTTTTCAATGGATACTCTTAAATGCATTGTGACTTTTAATCATGTAAATGCTCTATTTAAAATTAACAAACAAACCATAGTGTTTATAAATAATTTCCTCATTACCAGATTTGAAGATGCCCAAAACTTCAAAAGCTAGAAGTGGCCCAGATGTGCCTCCTGCTCTCAGGAGTTCTGAGGAGGACTCATATTGTAAATAGTCTTAGGTGGTGAGGAAGGATACTGAACTTTGTGGCTTTTACTTTTCTTTGTGCTGCATGAAGTGAGGCTACCTGCTGAGAGTAAAAAAAAAATGGGTGTGAAATATGAAAGAGGATAAAATAAGGGATTGCTGAGGTGTCTTAAAGGGGGAGTGATTCATTAATCAAGTTCACAAGAGACTAGTTTATAAGACAGAACCTCAATTTACAAATTTAAACTGAAAATCTAAACTGCTGCCACAAGGCAGCACGTCTTTTTGCCTATAAGAAAGGCCTCATAGGAAATAAAATACTATTAACTGACTGTGCAGTGCTCTCTAAATAAAGAGGAATGGATACTCTTAAAGACCACAGCTATCAAACTTTGATAATTTAATACAGTACTCAAAGAACACAACTCTCAAGGTGCCCACAGTAACACAGGCACACTGACAAATTATTTTCTAGATTTGGGCCATTAGGAAAACATAAAATTGGTTATAGTTTTCTATCATCTTAGCTCATGGTTATAATATGTTTGTGTCCTCCCGTCCCCACCCCCAATTCAACTGCCACCCTTTCTTGAGTTACCAGTGTTAACAGTCTGGTATAAATCCTTCCATACATATGCTCATACTGAAGTACATATAATACACCAAAAGGATTTTGTTTACCCAAATGGGAACATGCTGCCACGGCACAGATTATTGTTTGATCCTCACTTACCAATATATCATGGATATTCCTTTCCTAATTCTAATAACTAAAAATAGATATATTCCAATATTCCTAAGAAATAAAAATAGAACTATTTCATTTGCCCTATAATTATGTAATTTATGTATTACATATAAATTGCATAAAATATTACATAATTTCCCATAGTTAGAATATACTATAATTCAAGCATTCCCAATTCAGGCTGTTTCTAGATTTTGCCACTTTAAATAAAGCCGCAATAACTATCCCTGCTGTTATATCCTTAAGTATCGTGGTCTCCTGCAGCAAAAGTTGGATTTTGGGAACAGAGTGTGACAAATATTTTTAATTTTGTTAAACATGATCAAATTGCCTGTTTCCTTACATTCTCCCTAACACTGTATGTTTCTGTTCTTTTTGTTCTTTGCCAATATGAAAACAGTATTTCATATTTGCCTTAATGTACATTTATTTGATTAGGGAGGTTGAGCCTATTTTTCCACTTATTGTTCATTTGAGTTTCTTTTCCTTAGAGGCAGCATGAAATAGTGGTTAAGTTTATAAATTCTAGAGCTGGTTTTGCCATTTTATACTCAAGTTATTTCACCTTTGTGCCTCAGTTTCCCCATTTGTAAAATGAGGACAATAATGGTACCCTCTCATAGGACTGTTATGAGAGTTTGATCATTATCTGAAAAACATGTAGACTAGTAACTATATTTTTTGCCCATTTTTCTATGGGATTGTCTTTTTCTTATCAATTTGTGGAAGTTCTTTTTATATCAGGAATATTAGGCTTTTACTATCTTAAGTATTACATGTATACTTTCCCTATTTTTTTAATTAAAATGCCTTTTGTTATATAATTTTTATTTAAAAATGTATGTACTTAAATGACTATTTTTTTCTTTGTAGCTTGTTTCCCATATTGCTTAGGAAGCATTTTTTTCTCAAAGTTATACAACTTTTATTCTAATCTTTCTCTAAACATGTTTACTTTTTACATTTAAATTCTGCCTAGAATTTTTTCCCCTGCATTAATGCAGGGGACTAGCTACACAGTTCCCCTATTCCCTGGACACTCAACTGTGTTGGCACCGTTTCCCCAATGAACCGAAATGCTCTTCTTGTTATATATCATGCTCTTTATTGGGGTCTGTTTCTGTTTTTGCCCTTTGCTTAATAGAGAGCCAAAAGCATATTCTTGTTTACAGTAGCTTTATAGTGAGTTTTAACATTTGGTAAAGCAAATCTCACTTTAATTTTTTTCACTTTCATAATCTTCTTGGTTATTTTCCAACAAATGAACTCTTAAAAAGTCTTGTCCAGTACTACCCATACATCCAAGGCAGAGAGGAGGGTAAAACCAACCACAGTGGGATTCTGATTATATTTGCATTATTAATTTTAGAAGAAGTGATAATTTTCTGTATCAAGTCCTCCTATCCAGGAACATGGAGTCTTTTTTTACCAAGATTTTGGTTTATGTCCTTTAACAAAATTTCATAATTTTGTTCCTATGGATCCTGTGCCTGCCTCCCTGTTTTTTGTTTTATTTGTTTCTTTGATTTTAGTTTTGGTTGCTGTTACGAATAGGCTACTTTTTTCCATCGCCAGTCTAACTAGACATTGCCTAGACAGAGGAAAATGATAAATTAACTTCTTTACTTTCATTCATCTGCAAAGTTCTCTTATTAATTCTAGCAGCTTATTCATGGATTTTTCCAGGAATACAATCATATCTCCTGAAAAGTAAATTTTTTTTCTGATGTTTCTCCCAGGAAACTCTTCTTCAGCTGCATGACTGTGCCGCTATCCTCTGTAGCTGCTTCCCCACTGCAGGCAATTGTGGCTGCTGCCAAAGGCTGCTCTGAGTGACCTGCAAGGAATGAGACAGATGCTTTCTATAAGAATATCCCATGATTGCCTTGTTCAGATGTCACAGATGACAACATAATACAGTGGTTCCTGGTCTCTTAGCTGCCATATATTTCAATTTAGAGTCATTTATACACATTTCTTGAGCTCACTACTGTAATCATATCAGCCAAGTTTCCATCTGGTGTCTAGCAACAGGCCGCAAGCCCAGCAGTGAGTGCTGCCTGGGCGAACTTATCCTAATATTCCTCTTACTCTTTGAAAGAGAGATATTCCGAGAGGATTTCTCTGACCACCGTAACGAGCTTGTCTGGGTCACTATCACATTATCCAGTTTTTTTGTTTTGGTTTGGTTTTTTGAGGTTCTTTTTTAAAAAATTTTTTTTTATTTTTCACATTATCCAGTTTTATTTTCTTTATAGCACCAATCATATTGACAGATACATTAATTATTGGTTTGTTTATTATCTGGCTCCTCAAGATATAGAATATACTAGATAATTAACCTGATGAGATCAGGGAATTTCCCACCGCTCCCGGTCGAGGAGGACACTGAAAGACAGGAAACGCCTGCCCCCGCACCCCGGGAATTTCGTGTGTTTTCTTAGTGTTTTCTTCAGCCTTTTATCTCTAGTATCTAGAGTTGAAAATACCTCCTAGATCTTCAATAAATGTTTGTTGAATGAATGCCGAGTTTTCTCGAAAATAATCTACATGTTAAAGTAATTTCTTTTTATTCCAACTATTCTTAGTGTTATTAGGAATGGTTGCTAATGATCCAGATAATTTTTCAGCTTAGACAGATCAGATTTAAAGTGAATGGAGTTTATGATACTCAACATACAAAAAAACTCAGAAAATATGGGACTATCTAGTGAGATAACTCTCCAGACAGGGATAGACATTCATCTTTCTACCTCAATGCTCAAGGTCTGCATTTGTTGGAGATTTAACTATGATCTACTTAATTGTTTTGTCTTTCTAAAAAAAGTTCTGATAGAGGCTTGTCTGAGTTTCACTTCAAAAACTGTAGCGAGATATATATATATATTTTAACTTACTGGAACTTTATGGGAACTGAAGGCGAAATTTTGCAGATCATTAAAGAATCAGAAATTCAAGGCAGGTTTCAGCCCATATATTAATGTTCTTTTGTTTTAGAGGGCCCACCAGTCTCCCCAAAAAGTTTGCGGTAGGCTATGATCTCGTGAGGCTGTTTTTATTCCACTCTCCCAGTTTACACCTTCAATGTACCAACCCAGACACGTGTACAGTGAAACTCTCAAGTTGGTGTCAAAATTATCATTTGAGGCATTTGTTCCAGGTTATTTAGGAAAGCATTTTCAGTGGTTCACGGTGATACGGTGGACAGGATGGCATAAAGTTAGGAAAACAGTTTTGTTCGGACTGTGGGCAATCTCTCCTTTCTAACCATTTAACTTCTGTCCCCGCAGTGCCCAAGGCCGCGAAGACCATTTCCGGCCTCGTTCCCACCGCTCCAGGCCGAGGAGGACACTGAAAGACAGGAAGCGCCTGCCCCCGCACCCCGGGCCCCACAACACCTTGGCCGCAGCCCCGCGGCGCGCGCTCGCCCGGTGCATTGTGGGCACTGTAGTCTGGCCGGAACCTGTTCGCGCCTACAAGTCCAGTGAATGCGCTTCTTCGTCGCCGCCTAGGCCGCAGTTCCCCTCCGCGGCCTCCGCTGGGTCTCCCTGGCTCCGGACGCGGCGTTCGGGTGGGTCATCTGTTTCCCCTCCTGGGCACAAAAAGCGGAAGCTAGAGGGGCGCGGGGAGGAGCTTCCCGCGCGGGGTGAACGCCCGCCCTACGTGCTCGTTCGCCTTACGACCGCTGCGCGCGAGCCCGGTGTCCCGGTGGCGGGCAGCAGCGGCAGAACGCGGAGTGGGCGGAGGGAGCCCGCGGCGGCGGCGGCTGCAGCAGCGAAATGGCGGAGACCGTGGCGGACACCCGGCGGCTGATCACCAAGCCGCAGAACCTGAATGACGCCTACGGGCCGCCCAGCAACTTCCTCGAGATAGATGTGAGCAACCCGCAGACGGTGGGGGTCGGCCGGGGCCGCTTCACCACCTACGAAATCAGGGTCAAGGTGAGGCCGTTCTTACACCCTACAGAGAGATCCCTCCTGTGGTCCCTGGTGCCCCCAGCCGACCCTGGAGCATCCGCTCCAGCGGCCACGGCCGCTCAGGCCCGGCCTCCGGTTGACCCGGTGGGGCAGTCTTGTCCACCGGCGGGGTCGTGGGCCAGGATCCCTCTTCGTCGTAGGCTTGGCTAGGGGCTGCACAGTGAGCTGAATCCAGTGCTGGCACTTGAAGAAGGTGCTCGAAAAAAAGAGGGCGTGGGTTGAGCGCCGCTTGCCCCTCAAACAGCTGATCTGGGAATGACATTTGAGTTGGGAAGGAGTAGATCTTTCGAGAACACAACCCCTTCTTCGGAGGGGAGCTAGATGTGACTGGGAAAGGGGGGTTGCTCAAAGTTGAAGGCGTACCAGTTTTCTTTTCCTGGAGACTTTTACCCGAGGGGGCCAAGCCAAGCTGATTGCTCCAGGCTCTTCCCGAGCTACCAAACTCACCTAGGTTACACGCTTTTCTGAACAGAACCTCATGGGAGTTTACAAAAGCCTGAGGAATTTGAGAGGGCTGAGCCAGGCGAGAACGTTGATTGGAAATGATTGACCTCAGCATTCTGGCCACCTTCGTGCTAAGGCTGAGGAGTGGAGAGTGTTACCTACCTCACAACCAAAACTACAACTGTTTTAAGAAAAGCCTATTCATTTAGGGGTCTTGCTCTCTTAATTTCGAGGTTTGCACTTCACTGAGTGAAGGAATCAGCTGAAGTAGAAACACATTTATAATTTCATAACTAGTATTTGTTGGCAGTAAGTAATTCAAATGATTTCAAAGATGCTAATTGAGAATAATGCTTCACTTTCACTTTCTAGGATTAAAGAATTTACTCATGTATGGAAGTATCTTTAAAAATTACAGAAAACGAATCCAGCTGTTAATGACAACAACAACAACAAATTATTTTCTTAAAAATTAAGCATAAGAATTGGGCCTTAGAGTAATCAAATTTTACGTAACGAGTTACTGTTAATATTTAAGTGGAGTAATTTCTCATTTTTCCACATTTTTTTGGTGTGGTAAAATACAACAGAATTTACCGTCTTAACTATTTTTAACCGTACAGTTCAGTAGTGTTCAGTTTATTCACACTGCTGTGAAACTTACACACTTTAAAACATGATTTACTTACCGTGTAGTTTTGCTTAAAAACTTAACCATCAAACTAACATATGAAACTAACAGGCTAATGTTACAAGCCACCTTTGTCTTCCAACGTGTATAAAATGTGAACCACAAGCAGTCTTGTTACAGTGAAACTGTAAAATTGGGACTCCAGTGTACCTAGGGAAGTACATTATCACGTAGGCCTGATAAAAAAATGAGGCATTTTTTTTTAACTTTTGGAATGATTTTGGATTGTCTTAAATATATGGCAGACTGTTCTGTAAAAAAAACTTCCTCTTTTATTCACCAGCACATTTTCCTTTATTTCTTGTGCTAAAACGAAACTTGGTATTCCTGTTTCTAAACTTCCAGAGCTAGCACTTCCTGTCACACAATTGAAGTGGAATCTCCTGCCTACACTTCCTCCATTTAATAACTTTGTATTTATCTTGCTGAGTGTGTTATATTAAATAGACTCTAGTATGATAACTTAATTATTTTTAAAAATTCATCTGATTCTTTATTACCAAGTAGCTGATGTGAGACTTAAATTTGTTTTATGGTATATGGTTTATTTGTATTTTAAAGAAAATAATCCTTTTTAAGAGTGATTAATGAGTTATGGAATTAACAAAGTGTAACCTATGCTGGTTTGTTAAATTATATAAACCAGTTTGTTAAGCGTTCATGACTGCAAGTCGTAAATGCATGTGCCCTCTAAGAAAATGTAACTGAGTTTTCTAATGCTTATGAAATGCTATTGGGGTTTCTCTTAATAATTTAACATGTTAACTTAAAACTCAGGACACCATACAGTAAGATACTTGGATTTATTTTAGCAGCATGTGATTTTTCAGAGTCTTTGCAGTCTTGTATTAAGGCCAGTGAGATGAACAGGTAAATCATTTTGTCATTTTATTTATTACTACTTTTCTAAACTGTTCCTGCTCTCCCTAGGCCCCTACTGCCTGCATTTTGCTGTTGAATTTGACATGTAGCAAACCATATTATGTTCCAGAGTTTGGGCCCTTAAGCTCTAATTCTAGTCTTGAGGAAAATGTCCCATTTTGTAGGATATGATTGAAATTACCCTAATTCACAGAGTAATTTTATATAGATGGTGGCACTTTAGAATGCAATTCTTCCAATCTCCATTTATCTTTTCGTTCGAGGTTAGTGTTTAAGACTATTAGGATCAGTTGATTAGTATCTGGGCTTTTGAAAATAATTGGTACAGTGTTGATGTTTTTTAAAATTGTTCTAATGGATAGGTATAGCAGAGAGCACCATAAATGATTAAAGGTTTTAGAAAGCTTATGGTCTAGAATTATTTTGACATATTAAAGAGAAGGCTAAAGGGGAAATTCCATCACTGTTTATGAAGTTTGTGCTATAATGTAACTTCAGTCTTCTGGAAAGTATAATTTAACCTGGAGGTCTATTGTACCTGGAGACAACTGTTTTGAACAGGAATAAGTTAAGGATCTTTCTTGAGCTCTGAGTTCAAAGAAAAGATTCATCATTTATTAGCAGAATAAGGTACAGAATCTAAGCTCCACTTCCCCAGAAAGTTCCAAAAAGCAAAACTTGAATTTGCTGCATACCAGCAACTATTCATATAACATTTACATTGTATATTAGGTAGATTTAAAGTATAAGGGAGGATGTGCGTAGGTTATATGCAAATACTATACCATTTAAAGTACAAGAGACTTGAGCATCTGCAGATTTTGATATGGAGGCGTGTGTGTCCTAGAATTAAATCACCCGCAGATATGGAGGGATGACTGTACCTACCTCATAGGACACAATGCACATAAATCTTTTTAGCACAGTGACTGGTACATAACAAGCACTCAACAGTTACCTCTTTCTAAATTCACCTATCTTTCAAATTAAAAGTCATTGATCAGCTAACTGCATTTTCTGTGTTAATGTGCAAATGAGTTACTAAAATGGTTAGATTTTCTTATCAAGAAACCTGCTTGGCATGCAAGTATACTTTCACTGAGGCAACTGTGGTATAAAAGGAAGGCAATTTGCCAGGTAGTTTTTTTTTTAATGTTTTACATTTTTGTTACATTTTGTGATTCCATATTTGAAGTTGTGATGCCATTTAAGAACATGGTAAATTTCGTGTTTAAGACCAAAAATATAGAATACCCCGTATTTTAAGGTAGTATGTTTCCAAAATTGTACTAGTACTTTTTTTCCAGTTTGAGATATAATTGACATATAAAATTGTATTTAAGATATACAACGTAATGATTTGCCTTATACATATATAAAAATGATTACCACAATAAGTTTAGTTAACATTTATCACCTCACATAGCTCCAAAAGTAGGTTTTTGTAGTTGAGGTATATTAAAACATAAGGGTGTGTAGTAAAGTCTGTTAATAAACGTTGTGACAAGAAAGATAGTGAAAGTAGCATCTTGACCATTCTAAATCTATATTGGTGATACTTCTCTGGATGAGTCCTGTAATTTTAAATTGACAGTCATTAGTATCCTGATTGGAAACTGAGAAACTAATTTTTAGACTTGTTTTTAGGATTTATGAGAATGTGTTATTAAAGGGTCAAAATAGTATTTTAAAGAATCAAGACATTTTGGAGTCAAAGGACATTTGCAGACTCTATATCAGTTGGCCATGATATGTTGTCTGATAAACATCTTTGCTGCCAGCTACCTCTGACCTCCAGGATCTCTATCGAGGAAAGGCATGTTGTTAGCTTTGAAGAGTCTGTTCTTGCCTAACCAATCCCTTAGGATGAGGTAGGGGAGACACAATTAAAAAATAGCCCTGTTATATTGTTATTAGGGACTCAGTTCTATATTGTTCATTTTGACAGATATGGGAACCAAGGCACAGAAAGTTGTCCCTCACCCAAAGTAAATTATCTAACTGGTGTCCAAGCCAGGGCTAGATTTGAAGTATTCTGGTCCTGAGTCAGAACTGCTTCACAGCTGCAGTTCATTTAATTTAAAATAGTGCGTTAAAACCTTTGTTATCTACAGCCTCGTATTGGGGCACCCTCAAGTGTCTGAACCTTTTGAAGGAAATGTCAGTGTTAGCACCCTTGAGACCCAAGAGTTGACTCTTCAATAATCCACAGTAGGTAAGATGCACCCAGGAAAAATAAACATTTGGAAAGAGCTTACTGTTAAATTCTGTGCTGTGATGATACGACTTGAAGAAAAAGTGTGTTGTTGATTGGCTAGTGGTGCTTATAAGAGGTGAGCTTTTTTTCAGCTTTTCTTAAAGCTGAAAAATGAGGGCATTTATCACATGAGTACCTGTGTGTTCAAGGTACTTTGCTATATATACAATCTGATCTTTGAAGTAACCAAGTAGAGCAGATAATATTCTTGTTTTGCAAATGTAGAAGCTGAGGTCACTGTTAGAAAAAAAATGTGACAATGAGTGTGTATATGTCCATGTAT